TCCAGAAGGCGAGCCCTCGTCTCCTCGCCCGCTCCTCCTTCTCCTGTAGGTGAACACAGGGCAGGGACAGTGGTCAGGCCCTGCTGCACAGCCGGGGCTCGTGCGGGACAGCGGGAGCCGGCAGCGCAGCAGCACAGCCCCGGTGCTGCAGGGAGCCCCGTCCCCGGGGAGACCCTTGTGGGTGGGGTGAGGGTGCGGTGGGCTCTGTCCCTTACCAGCTGTGCCTCCACCAGCTCCGGCAGCAAAGCCCCAGGCACGGGGGCTGCCTCCAGCTCCAGCTGATGCTGCTGCCTGTAGGGCACAAGGCTTGGTTGGAAGGTGCCGGCCTCTGTCACTGCGGGGGCTCCCCAGCAGTGTGTGCCCACCCCAGGGCTGGGATGGGGCTGCTCCGTCCCGCCATGTGCCGAACGGAACCCGAGCCCCAAGCCCAGCAGCGCTGCAGCCCCATTGCTGCCCTGGGTGCTGCAGAGACCCTGGGGTGCAGGCGTGGGCTGCAGGGCCCAGTCCCACTCACCAGGCACTCTCCACCTCCAGCTCCTCCAGCTCCTCTTGCAGGCGCTGTTTTTCCTGGCGCAGCACCTGGCAGACAAAAGCGTGAGCGCCATGCCCGCTGCAGCCCTCCTCCAGGTCCCCAGCCTGGGGGCGGGCAGCCCCGATCCCCTCGCCCCTCCACACTACCTCAATCTCCTTGGTCTCAGCGTGCAGCTGCTTTTCCAGCTGGGCGATGAGCTGCTTCTCCTGCAAGACAACAGCTGGGCCATGTGGGATGGCTGTGCTGGGACCCATGGACCCAAGGGACCAGGACCGAGGTCCTCCTCACAGCCAGAGCCGTGAGGACGCCGAGCTCTGAGGACGAGCTCCTGCTCCACCCTACCTGCTTCAGCTCCTCTCGCCTAGCAGCCACTCTTTCATCCCGTGCTTTCTGGCACTCCTGCGGGCAAGGAGGAGAGGCCATCAGGGCACCGGTGCTCCCACGGAGCTCCGTGCCGCCGTCCCCTCCCACCTCCTCCATCGGGGCGCCCGGCGCCCGCAGGGCGGCAGCTGCAGACCCGCACGGGGGGACTTCTCCCACCCCACGCCAGCACTGCTGAGCCCGCACACCCACACCGGCCCGTGCCGCTGCATCCGCTCACCTTCATCAGCAATTCCTTGGCCGCAGCTCTGTGGTTCTCCACAGCCCGCTCATGAGCCTGTGGGAGGAGAGAGGAGCGGCGCTGGCACCGAGGCGCTGCCGGCAGCTCTGCATCCCGCCGGAGGTGCCCGGCCCTCTGCTGCCGCGCCACGGGCAGGGCGCCCTCCAGCCGGCAGCTCGTCCCGCCGGCCCTTCTGTGCCCGCCCACCCAGAGCTCACCTCCATCAGCTCCTGCAGCAGCTTCACGCGCTGCAGCGCTGTTAAATTTCCGCTGGCAAACTGGGCCCGCATGACTGCACCGCTCGCACAGCTGCTCGCAGACCTGCACACCCGCAGAATGGGGCCGGCAGGGTGAGCGCTGACCCACTGCCCCCGCCCCACCCTGGGGCCTCTGTGAGCTCAGCACGGCATTGTGACATCACCAGCACAGGAGGGTCCTTGGAGATCATTAAGAACCATAGCATGGATGCGTTGGGAAAGTCCTGGAAGATCATAGAACCATAGGATGGTTTGTGTTGGAAGGGTCCTGGAAGATCATTAAGAACCACAGGATGGCTTGGTTGGGATGGCCTGCGTTGGGAGTTCCTTGATGATCAAAGAACCGTAGATTGGTTTGTGTTGGAAGGGTCCTGGAAGATCAGAGAGGCAGAGGATGGCATGGGTTGGGATGTTTCTTAGTGATCATTGAACTATAGAACGGTTTGTGCCGCAAGGGTCCTTGAAGATCACAGTTTGTTCTGTCTGCCGGAACATCTGCTCCCTCTGATGGGATTTCTGGAATCGGTTTAGAATTGACGTCCTCTTGTTGAAGATAAGATGTCAAAACGGATGCCTCAGCATGACGTAACATCAGTGGGAGCCATAAGCCATTACAGCCGTGAGCTGTAATGATTCAGCATATCCTGCTTTCTTATTGTTCAGTTGGAGAAGGCAGATGCTCTCACACATCAATCAGCAAGCACTTGGATGAGCCAGCCCTCTGCTTTTCACAACAGTCATGGTTACTGCCGGCTCTGACACCTTACCAGGAGATGCTTCAGTTCATTAACGTGGACTTGATTCCTTCCATCAGCAGCTACTCCTGAACTGACCTTCATTCATACAATGACACCACCAACTTCTAGCACGAGCTGACCTGCAAAACACAGAAAAGAGAGCAGGATGACAACCAACACAGAGATAACACGTTTTAATATTCACGAACAAAAAAAGCAATTACAATACAGAAGGGCAGCTGCAGCAACACAGCAGTACATAAAGAAATGAAAACCTGGCCCAGCCCCGGAGCAGAGCGGCCTGGCCCCAGAGCCCCCACCTCCAGATGCCTCATTCAGCACAGATCCATCATCTCAGCAACCACCTACTACCCAACCCGCCAGCATTCCTGTGACCTGCCATCAGCTGACGAGACGGAAGTAAGATCACCATGATCTTCCAAGCCACGAGATGGGCCAGGACACCACAAGAGGATTCACAATACTTTAGTTGGGGTCTCATGAAGGCAGAGTAGAGAAAGACGATCGCCTCCCTTGCCCTGCTGCCCACCGCTCTTTTGTTGCAGTCCAGAATACTGTTGGCTTTCTGGGCTACCAGCACACACTGACACAGGTAAAGCTTTTTGTCTACCATGGAAGCCCAAGACCTTCTTGGCAGGGCTGCTGTCGAGGAGTTCTCCCACCATTTGGTAGTTGTGCTCTGGAATCCTGCCTTTAGGCATGAAAGCCAGGAAAGCATTGCTGGTGAAGACAGAGGCAAAGAAGCCATGAGGTACATCAGCCCTCTCTGCTAACACATTAACACAACAGTAGGCCCACACCATCCCTGTCTACTCTTTTACTTGTAAAGAAACTCTATCAGCTGGAGCCTTCACACTCCTCTGCAAGTATCAGGTCCATGTCAGGTGAAAGCAGCCAAAGCTGCCCTATCACAGCCCTGACCAGGTTGATGCTGAGCATCACCTGTGTTTCCCCCAGCAGCTGTGTGAAGAAGTTGGCTGAACTCCGTGGCCTGTTGTTCTGCTTGGCCAGAGAATGCCAGGGCAATTGCAGCTCCCATGGGCAGCTGCTCATTGATCTGCAGACACCTCAGATTGCTGACAAAAGACTTCTGCCTGCTCTCCTTGATCAAGCAGTTGGTAAGCAGCCTGATCAAGACCACGCAACAGTTAATGATGTTATTCTATAATAGCTCAAGTGACCAAAATGAGAGAATCTTTTCCATGGTGTACTGCACATGAGTCGTAGGCTCATTCACTTCTGGACACTTAAGGATACAGTTTGCAAAGGAATCCCTCGTTTTATCTCCATCTATCACTAGCTGTATCCAATAAAGTCCTGCAAGAAGACACAAAAGCTGGGACAAGCTTGCTGATAACAGCTGAGGACACGCAGGAATGTCCATGACACAACAGCCACTGCAGTCAAGGAAGATCTAGAAAATACAGGTGATGAAGCAGAAGGGAAAGAAATAAGCTTAGTCATGCTCCTATGGCACACGACTCCATTTGTTCAGCTAAATCCCTTTATAGGCTGCCCTCGTTATGCACAGCAGGGACAGTTTCAGTTGTCCTAGACGTGGGTATCTACTGACAGTGCAGGTGTTGTTGGACAAAGGAATGTCCTTCCACAGTCTGGGAGTAACAACCTACATTTCACCAGATATTTGCATCTGAACAGCTCCTTCCTATCCTTAATCTCCACATGTGAGCATTAGTGGCTCCCTAATTAGCAGTAGTGAGGTACCTTACAGGGAGGTGTCTATGTTGTGGACATCTGATCTGAGGCAAGAGGAACTGAGGGGGTATTGGGAGGGGGGGGAGAGGATCAGAATAGGGGAATAAGGAGGGGAGGGATGAGGTGAGGGTGGGGAAGGGACCCTGGGGGTAAAAATGGAGAACTGGGGGGTGGTGTCGAAAAGGAATGGCGGGGAACTGGAATTGGGGGGTGGGGGATCTCTAAAGGTCAGTGTTGGGGGGGAATCGAGGGGAGAGCATGACCCTGGGGGTCAGAAAGAGGGACTGGGGGAGTTTATGGCCGAACCGTGGAGGGGAATGAGGCAGCGATGTACCCTGGATTGGGGATGTGGACGAACACAGCGCACCTCCCCACACTGAGCAGAGGCCCTGAGCACCACAAAGGCCCCACGAGGCCAACGCAAAGCCACCCCCGCCCCGGTGTCCCCCCGAACACCCACTTGTAGAAGCTGAAGCTGAAGCGGGCGCTCGGAGCCCGGGGCTGCCCTGCACCACTTCCGCACGGCCCGCTCGTCCTCGCGGCGCAGGGTGATGACGTCACACGGCCCCGCGCATCTCGCTCCAGTCGGCCCCGCAGCTCCTCCCTCGCCCGGGCCCAACACGCCGCTCTAGTAACCGCCCTCGGCGCGGGCAGAAAGTCATCAACCTTTTATTCTTATTATTACTACTAAAAATCTCTGCTGTCTTTTGCGAATTGCCGTGAATTTCCACTCGGCACACGCAGGTGCGTTCTGCGTTTCCTCAGTTGCTCCGCGCCTCCAATCTGACACGGCCGAGGGCTTTGCGGGGCTCCTCCTGTAGATACAAAGCGGGAAGCGCCGCGGCACATCCGCACGGCTCCCTTTGCCAGCCGCAGAAACCTGACTTGCTCTGCTCCGCTCCCTGGGCTGCCGTGGGACGCCAGAACGGCGCTGCTGATGGGGGAAGGCAGCTGCCCTCCTCCTTCCCGCCAGCAGTCGTCCCTCCACACCCGCAGGAGGACGGTTTCCCTCCAAGCAGCCTGCCGCACGCACTGGCCATACCTGCACGTGGAAGGTCTGGGCGATCTCTGCGTCCACATCGTAAACAATCCCAGGGGTGCTTCACCTTCGTCCTTATCTGCTCCCTCAAAGACAAGAGATGATGGCGGTCACACTTAGGTAGGCCATGCGAAAACTAACGTGCCGAGGCCGAGAGTGGGAGCCCCTCCACCCCCACATCAGCTCTGGCAGAATTGGAGCACAAAGGAGGGTGAGCCTGAGTCAGGGCACGTGGAGTAATTGCTCCCAGCTGCTCGGCCATGAAGAGCAGCAGAGGGGTCTTATGGGGCTCTGTGGCAAAGCTTTTCCTCTCGGGCTTTCCTCCAGAAGAAGTAGTGGGCGGAGACTTACTGAGATAGCAAACTCTTTGAGGACGCTGTTGACTTTCCCGGAGGGAGAAACTGCCTTGGAGATGTGCCAGGCGGTGAAAGCTGTGGGCTGGAGATGCTGATTCTGAAGGTGCTTGTGCTGGAGCTTGAATTTCAGCCTGCAGATAGCTGGCTGTGGTGGCTGGTCTCTGACAGTGGAACCCAGGCAGCACCAACAACTGGCATGCCAGGTAATTTCTGTCCCGCATCATTCACCAGTGTCACTGTGTGCCTGCAGGCTCTTGCTGCCTGCCCTTGCACACCGGGTCAGCAGCAAAACCTGAGTGTGTGGGCACAGAGCATGTGTAAAAGAAGCCAGGGATGGCTCTTTGGAAGTAGCTGACCTCAGTGGGCTGTGGAGAGTTGTTCCAGTGGTGTGCCAGAGAAGGTACTTGCAGACATCTGTGACACTTCTCAGCTCCCACAGGGGTCAGCTGCTCAGCGGGGTCCTGTGTGGTAGGAGCCTGCAGGAGTGTTTCTCCCCAGGGCTGGCTCCAGCTGTGGCCTGCGCTGGCTGGAGCCCGATCTCCAGCCTGGGGGGTGTCCTGTGGAAGAGCTCAGGACATGCACGATGGGGAAAGCGTGAGGGATTCTGCTCTGCAGTGCTCCCCACAGACAAAGCCCAGATCCCAGGGCACAGCCCCAGCCCTCGGCCCAGAGGGTAGTGCCTGTGCAGCCTCTCCCCACCCAGCAAGAGATGGAAGTCCTGGTGCTTAGGCACAGAGACAGAGGCGCCGCTAATGAAAATCTTTTGGGTCCATGGAGCACACTGGGAGATCATCTGTAGCAGGTGAAGGGACCGTGGGACATTGTCGTGTTTCTTCCATGCATGAATGCAGGAAAAGCACAGAGGCTGCTGTTCACAAATCTGTGCGGAAGCGCCACGTCGCAGCCATGGTAATGTTCTCAGCTGTGCTGCTGTCTGCGCTGCTGCTGGCCTGTGGTGCTGTGATATGGATGTGCCAAAAATACCTGTGGGTTGGCTTTTCCCCAAAACACCCGATTGCTGCATTTGGCAATGAAGCATCTGTAGTGCCAGGATCCTGGACGGCCAGATCAGCTGCTGGCAGAGCACTGCCAGGACTAACAGCTCAGATGAAGATGAAATTGCTAACCGGAGATACAGATTGTTGTACCAGGAAATTGAGGCTGATAAAGAAGAGGTACCTACCCCATTGTGTAGCCTAGTCTAGACAAAGAGTTCCTTAGGTCAAGCATAACCTTGTCGTTTAAAACCAATCCATCTGCGTGTTTCCTGCTACCCCTCCTAAGCCCTTGCAATTGTCTTGAAAAATTGTCACGCAGCTGTTCATAGTGTGGTGCCCTTCAGCCGTGTAATGAAGCAGGCTGGCAGAAATGCATTTCAGGAAGGTGAATGAAGCTTCACACTGTGAAGACACACAGTGTCTCACAGCTTTTGTACTTTATATGTATAATTTAAAATGCATCTCCAGTCTTTTCTTTTTTCTTTTTGTAAAAATACTGAAGCCACTGCGCTTTTTTCATTCGTTTTCATAGAATCATAGAATCACCAAGGTTGGAAAAGACCTAAAAGATCACCCAGTCCAACCGTTCACCTATTCCCAATAGCTCCTACTAAACCGTGTCCCTCAACACAACATCCAGTCTTTCCTTGAACACCCCCAGGCTCGGTGATTCCACCACCTCCCTGGGCAGTCCGTTCCAGTGCCTGACCACCCTTTCTGAAAAGTAATACTTCCTAATGTCCAGCCTGAATCTTTTTTGTTTTGGTGTTCTCTTTAAGCCTGTGAAATCTGTTATCGAATAGTACTGTCATCAAGTATCTTTCTGCCTTGCCTTTCCTTTTGTTATTTCTTTTGTTTTATGTCTGGCCTATTTTTATTTTGCAAATGGAAATGTCTTATCCGTGTTCTCCTTTAGTAAACGAATTATGACTTGTTCTGATCTTCACTTCTACTTGGGCATCCAGCACGGCATTTAATAGATTTGCACAGGTTAGAAACAAGCAAGTTTTGAGAGTTTTTTTCTGTTTTGTTGGGAGGAGATTAAGACTAGTTGCACAGTTTTGAAAACTCTGCTCTGCAGACCAGCTGCACAATAATGCCTTGCTGATACAAATCCTGAACTTGTCTGCTCTCAGAAAGTCTTCCTGGATGTTCCTAGAAGGTTGCTGATATTCTTGGCGCTCTTGGCCTAGCTGAATTTAATTGGAAAACTCCCACTATCTTAGCAGGACTGTCTTCTTGTTTTCCATATGAAAGAACTGGATTAGTATTTTTCTTGCTCTCTTTTTCGGATTTTTCTAATAATCTCAAAAGCCTGTAAAGCATGGCTTCCTCACAGATTACACACCTGTTCAGTGACTCTATGTATTTATGCATTTATACATGAAATTAGTTTTATTTGTTTCTGCAATATTGTTTTCACCTAACATATGTTTTACTCTGGGAGTTAAATCTGAGTTGTTTATTTACTGCTGTGATAATGCTGAGGATCTGCACGAGGCACTGCAGCAGTGCAATGCACACTTACACTCTCAAGCTCCAGGGCCCTCATCCCAAAAGATAATGCAGATAATCTGGAGCCTTCTTAAATTCCAGCAGCTGGAATTCAGAGGCTGGCTTACCCACAGCATGCTCTGCACACCACTGTTCAGATATGCACACAAAAAAGCTGGGCATCTGCAAGGCTGAAAACGAATCTTTCAGTGCTTATTAATTTTGCTCCAGGCCTTTTACATTAGTAAAGTATTCAGAAGGAAGAGCCAAAATACAAAGCTGCCACCACTTTCTCTAATTAATGCATATGAAGCTTCACATCTCTAATTACTGAGCAGTGTCTGCGCTGTGCAAATAAAAGCCCAGAGTCCAGAGGATGTGTAAGCAACTCCGAGCTCTGCACTCCCTGTGCACGTGCAGTCTAGCAAAATAAACTTCTGGCATTCGCTGTTCAGAAGTGCAGTGTGCCTGAAGCAAAGTCCTTGCAATTCACTTCTATTCAGCGAAGTATTCTTCACCTATTTGAATAACTTGAAACATTTTAGAGTCGTGGAACACTTTTGAAAAAGGAAGGTCTTTAATATTGATATTCATACCTATTTATCAGGGGGAAATTCTTTACCCAGAGAGTGGTGAGGTACTGGAACAGGCTGCCCAGAGAGGTTGTGGATGCCCCATCCTTGGAGGTGTTCAAGGCCAGGTTGGATGGGGCCCTGGGCAGCCTGGTTTAGCGTTAAACGGGGAGGTTGGGGGCCCTGCATGTGGCAGGGTGTTGGAGATTCACAATCCTTGAGGTCCCTTCCAACCCTGGCCATTCTGTGATTCTGTGTGATACTGTGATTTAGATTATCAATTTTCCATCCAAGCTCAGCTATTGATGGTTATGCCTGAGTAAGCCATAAAAAATCAGGTCTTTACTGGTTACATCCCATGACAAATATTGTTGCTTCGTTGTTTTTATTTTCTATAGGTAGGATACCACTGCATTTACAGTGCAATCAAATGAGAATGTGACAGAGACTCTGGTAAGTGGTGGATTTTGCTTCTTTTCTAAATGGTGTGTAAAAAAAAAAAAAAAGGTACTGTTTTTTGCTTTGTACAAAAATATTTGCTCCTTTGTACAAAAACATGGGTGTTTTCCATCCTCTAATTCATTAAATCTTGACCTGAAAGAATAGGTGGGTATACCATTGCAGCTGTAAATCTGTACTTTCTGAAAGTCTTTCACTAGGATAGCACTGCAAAAAAGGAAAAGCAGGATGCCTAGATACTTTTAATTTTTGAAGGTACAGTCAGTTTACTTATTTATTGCACTTAAGAAAAGCAAGAATGAGTGCTTTGGTCCAATGTACAGCAAGGAAGTGTTCACGTGTGCTGTTGGTACACATACCTCTCATATTACTGCAGCTTTATCTATCTTCCACATTTTAGTAGGTACCATCTTCAAAGGGGGGGAATATTGTTGAAAGTGATCATACTTTGGTGGTTTCTGGGTTCCTCTTGCTGTCTTTGGTTAGCCTGAATTAAGGATATGGAGTGGCAGCATTGCTGGGTGAATGCTGTTTTGGTGTGGAGGTGGGTTTTTCTGTTTGGTTTTGTTTCGTTGTTGTTTTCTGAAAAATGTCAGGGAGCAGATTTTCGTATTTTGAAGAATTTCAGAGATGTCTCTTCATTACAGAAGGCCTTCTAACCAGCTGCATCTTATCAATTGCAAAGCAGCTGGATAGCTTTTGAGGTTCATATTATGCTGAGCAATTTGTTCATGTCAAATTGATCTACTGGGGTTATTTTATCTGGCTGAGTCAGCCATCTTTATAGATGCAATATGCTGAGCACAGCTTGCAGCTCTTTCCTTTAGTGTGTTTGTGTTTGCAAGGCTTTGTCCCCAGCAGAAATAGTACTTTTGCTGGGAGCTGTTTTGCTGCAGGACCAAACATCTTGCAGGACTGGTGATGTTTACTAGATATAAGAATAAGCATAGGCCAGAATTTTAGGGGGTAAGAATTGCAGAAAAAGCATGGCCGATAAACGGAAGCTTTGTAGGTAATTGAGATCTCGGGATGAAATAAGCATTAGAAAGCAACTAGGGATGACTTTTTTTTACTCAGAAGGTGGTGAGGTACTGGAACAGGCTGCCTAGAGAAGCTCTGGATGCCTCTGGTCCTGATCATCCTGATCTAATGGGTGGCCCATAGCAGGGGGATTAGAACTGAATGGTCTTTAGGTCCCTTCCACTTCGAGCCATTCTATGATGTTCCATGTCAGAATTCATGCAGTTAGTACTTGCCTATGTGAAAACAGTCTGCAATGTTTCTTACGTTCAACAGAGAAGGAATCTTTGTCTGAGAACTAGTGGAATTAGGGGGATAGGGGATAATTTTAAAAAATCATGTTTGAAATCATAATTTGGGACACTCCTCGCTTTGCCCTCACTTTCTAGAGCATTTCTGAGCAAACTGAGTACTTCTCCCCCATTTCTGCTGCTGCTTTCAGTAACTCAGGAAGCTAGCACTCTCTCCTTGCAAGGGAGGGATGTTGGACTGACTCAGTTTCTGTGCAGGACACTGAGAATGAAGATGCTCTGTAGATGATCATTAGTAATGTAAGGCTGTCCTCTTCCTGGCAAAGCCATTGGCACTGAGTCTGCTAGGAGTGAAGCAGCACTGTAATGCCAGGCAGAGTCGAATGTACGTATCTATGGCCATATATTTCCATAAAGAAAGAAGTGAAAGAGTACATTTTTCTTTTTTCACAATGTCTCTGTTTTGATAATTTCTGTACATTTGGTATTTCCTTTAGGTTGAAGTTCTGCATGATTTTGAGGCAGCTAACGGTGATGAGCTTAATTTAAAATGAGGGGATATTGCACTAGTAATTCCTTCTGAGACCACAGCTGATCAGGTAACAACAACATGATTATTTATTTCTTTTGCTAATGTTTCCCTTTGTCTCAGTTTCCTTCTCACTCTTTATAGTTACTTTGAAATGTTGATTCAAAATGTCTTTGCTGTTAGAAAAGACCAACATTCTTATTTTTCCCTATTACTTGGTTTGATTTGTGACCAAGCAGCACAGTTAACTAAGCTAAAGTCCCAGGTATGTACTGCCAACAGGATCCAACTTCAGTCTGTTTTTCTAGGGCACTTTTATGTTACTTTGTAGTGAATTTTATATAGGCTTACATAGACACAGGCTGAATACAGAAGATGGCTTACAAATTGTGCATCCTGCTATCATTTTGTTGTTACACTGGGTCAGAACTGATTGTATTTCCCCACATGTTCAGAGTTTTACTTGGAGATCTGGGGAAATATACATTTGCCCAGAGAGAGCACTGAGACTGCACACAAACAGTTCTGTCCTGCAGCCAAATGGCACAGAGGTGTTCCTACATGTCCTGTGTGCCTCTTGGAACCTGAGCCTCACACAGCTGTGCTCTTGAGCTGCACCAGCAATCACTTTGTCTTTGGTGCAAGAATCCAACAGTTCAGTGTCATTTAAGATATTTTATTTTGTTTTAACAGCGTGTTTCAGGTTAATTTTTAAACAATTCCACGTTATATTGATTTGCAATCAAGTGAATTAATTTTTTACCTCTTCTTTTGCCTTTTATATGGAATTAGTGATGGTGTTACAAAACAAAAAATGTCTAGGAAATGCTTGATAGGGAACTAGAGTTGTCCAAGAGAAAGAGAGCAAGGAAGGAAAAAGTGGTATGGGAAGTGGCTAGGAGACAGAAGGGCATGAAGAATTAAGTCACTGAGTTTGCATCTCAAATGATTTTCAAGTTTCACCTCAGGACACAAAATCCTGAATGATGAGCATTCAAGCCTGGGAATTGTTACAGGATGAAAAAATGTAGCAAGAGCTCCAGGTTTACCCTTTGTCTGCACCTTCCAGACAGAGCAGGAAGGAAAACCTGAACCCGCACTGCAGCAGTCCAACTTCCTCCAAGCTCCTGGTGCCTGGATGCCCTGACGCAGCACTGGGCAGGACCAAGGCCGGCACAGCACTCCTGCTCATCTTCCAGCTCATTGGACAGCTATAAATTCAACTTACATGTTTCCACCCCCCCCCACCAAACCACTTGCATTTTTTCCAACAGAACTAGGCTTTCACTTCTGACTGTTTTGCCATTAAGGCGGGAAACCAACAGTGAGGTTTATAAAAATCTAAAGGTTATGGATGGCAAGTGCTTCCTTAGAAAACAATCAGCTGTCCTGGGATCTAGACCTTGCTCTAGAGACTCCCTTGGATATTGTTTTGTTCATTGGCTGGTACCGCAGGAGGCCTGGGGCAGCTCCCAAGCACATTGCCTACATGGCAACCAGGCTGCTCCTTGAGAATGAGTCCGATGAGGGAAAATTCAGCATCGAGAAGGACCTCGCCAAATCTCAGTGCACCCTGACAGTGGGCAGACTCACTGCACAAGACGCTGCTACCTACTACTGTGCCAGATGGGATGCACAGCAGCAGAGAGCCATGGGGAACCTGCACAAAGACACACTCTGCTTCCTGAACGAGAC